TTTTTAAACGCTCTTTTGCATTGGCTAACGCAAAAGCTCTTATTAGGTGCCGCGAAGTAAGCGGGCATTGGCTAGTAATAGTATAGAATTCATTTAATGTATATATTTAATTGAAGTAAAGTAAATGTATTTAGTAAGAATTCGAATTTAAATAATGCGTGCGCGTCGCCATAGCTCAACTGACCGACTGCCTAATTCTTCGTTTCTTTTTTCGTCCCGTGCATATCTGTTGGACCCCCATCAGATCTCGTCGTCGCCTGAGCTTACCAGACTGTCGTTATCGTTGTCAGGAAATGTATAATTAAATGGTTTTAGCTTTTCGGACGAAAATACGGTAGAGTAGCGTTTTTGTGAACGTCGAGAACCAGCAAGGTCTTCAATTACATAGCGGTCGTTACCGAGAACTTTGGCAACGACAAAAGGCCCCTTGAAGCTTGGCTCTAATTTACGTGGTGCACCAGTACTACTCACTTAGTATGCTGACGATCAAATTGTTGTTTTGCTTTTTCTCGTTGCGTTGTAATTCTTTCTGCCGCAGTTTGTCGGATAGACTCTGTCTGTAGTACAATTAATTAAGTAATTATTTTTATAAATCACATATTTTGCAATTTAACACAATAAAACCGCGTTTTCTGTCGAAAAATTGATTACTGAGGCAATTTACTATTTTAAAATTTATTTTATCCTCCCATTCGGATGTGTTTACTTATGTCAAGCAAAAATAAAACTACTCAAAAACGCGAATATGTGGTAGATTTCAGACCTTGAGTGATAGATGTGGTAGATGCTCAAAAAAGTGGCAGGTCTACCACAATGTGGTAGAAGTCCGATCACTGTTTCACAGTAAGAAATAAGACAATACGCAAAAATATGGCTTTATTTCTCAATGTAAAGTGAAATAAAGCCATATGGCGTTATTTCCTATGGTTTTATTGTACGGCATCATTGCACTTCGCTGTACAGGAACTGGAGAGCTGCAGACGAACTGGAGAGCTGTAGACGATTCATCAGGAGATTGTAGATGAAGGGGAAATGAGGGATGAAGTTGCCCGTAGTTTACAAATGTAAATTTTTTAATTTTTTGTTCACGCTTGGTTCGTTATCACTTTATCGGGTTATGTGGTTATATGAACAATAACAAAATACACTGAATGAAAATAACCAACTTTGACCAACCCAAACCCTTGTTTACAGATTATGTGATGAACTGCTTATTTGTCAGTGGTGGAAAATACTACAAATTAGAGTCCGACCGATTAATCGGCATCGGCATCGGCATCGGCCATTTTTCGCCGATTCTTTGGAATTTCTTTTCAAATGTTCAGGTGAAGCGACAGCCAACTTTAAAAAACATTTGCAGACAGCTCACAAAAATTATTTTTATGGAGAACACTGCCAGCAAAAAAAGTTGCCAAAAATTAACGGGATTTTATAGCAGCTTGAAACTTGCACTTCATTATACTACAATGAGATGGTCTACAAAACTGCATACCAAAATTCTGATTAAAAAGTTTGAAATTTTGGTGAAAATAAGCAGAATTTTTCTAATTTTTGTACAAAGTTTGAAATCTGAATTTATATGGTGTTTGTTGTATAACAGCTAGACTTTTATAAAAAAAAAAAATAATAAACATTAAATAAAATTTACAAAATCGGTCAAAATATCGCAACTCTTTTATTTTGTGGACCACTATATGTATTTACATACGTAGCTAGCATATAAGTTCTTATGCATTGAGTGCAAAAGAGTGTATTTTAGTACAAAACGAAATGAAATTTTATGTTCCTAAATATTTTTTGCTTAGCACCATATAAAAAAGTGTTTATGTATGGATGTACCATACACATGTATGTTGCATAACAAGCCAATTAATTCAATTATTTCTTTTCTTTTGTTTTTTTTTTTAACGCCGGGAAATGTAGTGATTTTATGAATTAATACATTTATTTGTAATTTTTTATGGAATTAGCATCGGCATCGGTATCGGCCGATTCTTTCCCCATAAGCCGATTAATCGGCATCGGCATCGGTACCTGAAAAAAAAATTGGAATTGGTCGGACTCTACTACAAATTTACTAGATGGCAGCACAAAGAAGCGAACTGGCATCATTAAATTAAGAATTTTATGTAGGTAGCTCTGGTATTAACAGCTGTTTTTTGTTCACAAGTTCACAACCACTTCTTCAATACTTCGTTGGAAATAAAAATCAAGTCCGGAAACGCAAACCAGAAAACGAAGTGAAAAAATGGACAGAGGATGAAATAAATAAGGTATTGAGCTATATGCAGGGGCACAGAAATATCGAGATATGGTTGTACGATTCTTTAGGTTGTCTATTTCTTTTTGTTTATTTTTCCACTTTTATATTTGAAATTGCAGAAACCAACCGCCCAACTGTATGACAAAAAATTGTTGGAAGAAACCAAAATCGATGCGACTTGGAATATGCTGAAATGCAAAGTTCGCCACCTAAAAGGCACCTTGCAAAACGTCGATGGATGGAGCGACTCTACCGGCGCTGGACTGGGGGATGACGAAAATTTAACTACCATTAGAGGTACGCATATTCTGTTCTTTGATTTTAATTACAATAGCTTTAAATTTCTTGTTCAGGTATAGAAATGTCCACTTTGGACCAACTTTTCGACATTTTTTTCGAAATCGAAGGAAATTGAAGTTGTTGTAATGGACACGTCTACCGATGTTTTCGATTGCAGTATACTCGATGCGACTTATTTAGAGGACGAGGGCTTTCCGACAAGTGATGAACCGAGCACCTCATCTGCAGCTACCACGTTTGCATCTAAAGTTAAGTGTAGAGAAATTTTCGAGAAAAGCAGGTACAATTGGAAATCGAAAAAT